ACTACTACTACTCCTGCTCCTACTCCGACTGCGACTACTCCGCCTGCGACTGCTACTGCTCCTGCTACTACGACGACAACGAGGACAAGGACTCGGACTGATAGTACGAAGAACTACGTAAGTACTAAGTACCAAGTGCTGAGTGCACATTGACATACTGGTACCGGTTCTGGTACTGGTGCTGATGAGAAAGGTGTGAGCAACGCGTGAGAAGACACTTGAGAGGAAGCCGCCAGCATGGAAGTCGGCTTGCCGCTTCTACAAATTTCGGGTTTAGGCCAAAAGAGACCTATTCGCTTTGTCAGTGTAGAACCCCTAATGCGAGGCTCTCAAACTTTCAAGCGATTCCGCCTGAGCCTTAAGGCATGAAACAGCCTCTACTTAACATGAAGATTTGAATGCTTTGGGCCAATGCGCTCGCGAGAGCTCCGCTCGCCGGAAGGGTGACTCTGGTGCGTATCTTCGTCACATGTGCGTCGAGACTTCAAGGAGATGCCATCAGCTTCGTTCGGTGCCGCCGTCCCGTTGTTCGCACTCCCTGTTTTTGTCACGGTTTTCACACATTGTTCCCCACCCTCGGTGTGGGGCCGTTAGATTTTAAAGTCAGCTATTACTCCCGCCTGCTCCTCGTTCGCTCGTCGCGCGCTGAGACTACCTGCAGAGACTGCCTGGAGTGCCCACCCCCAGAGACTACCGTGAGACTCCCTGGAGTGCCCAACCCGGCGACCCCAGGACCTGAACGCCAGGCAGTGGTGTGACCCCATGCATGGGTCGTCGAATGACCTGAATCGAACGCTCGTGTTTTGTTCGGTGTACGGGGACCCTCGTCCGAATCGCCAGTCGGTGGTGTGACCCCATGGGTCGTCGAATGACCTCGCTGAATCGAACCCTTGTGTTGTGTTGTGTGACCGGGGATGCCACGACCGTAACGCCAGTCCGTGGTGTGGCTTCCAAATGCATTATCCGTAGGGTGGGGATGTTCGAAGTAAAAGCAATTTTAGTGTTTTTCACGTTCACCTCTACACGTTCGATCAGCAGAAACACACAAAGCCTTCCCGCAGAAACCTCTTTCGAGCTAGAGACCGGGGATGCCATGACGTAAGCAGCCGACTAATGACGTGGGTCTTTTCATGGCACGAAATGTCTGTAGGCTGCAGAAATCTTGGAAGTCGACGCTGTGAGTTCAAAAGGATGCTTTGCCAAACTCTTCGGGGGCAAGCGAGCTCGTCGTGTTTTGTGGCACTCACAAAGTTGCTTCCTAACTCCTTCACAGGCATTTCGCATCGCATCTTCCGGCCGACCGGGTCCTTGCCACATCGATTTGCCGAAGGACAGCATGGCCTGCGGAGCGAGGTCATACCATCCATGCTCGACTCGCGATTGCAGGACATCGTTTCAATGAAGGCGCAGGTTCCAGAAGCAATCTTCAAAAAGGCTGCAACTTTGACTGCGGATGCGCCCCCGATGTTGGACATGGGTGCTGTGCAGAAGGCTCGGATGTTCGGGCGAAGCATGCAGACCTGGGGCGGGAATAGTTTACCGCGGCGAGTTTGATTGTAATTAATAAATCTACTTAGCGCCGCAGTAGTGCCACGCGCTTATGGTTGTGGGATTGATGCGCGTTGCTGTTCCGGTTGGGCCTCGGCTCGTGATCCTGCATTGAACTTGTCTTCGTACAGCTCGGGCTTGCTCTGAGTGCATCCCCATGTGCTCATGGTGGCCAGGCAGCCGAGCTCATAAACAAGGCCAAGCGTCCCATCCTGTATGTAGGCCAAGGCCGCTGCCTTAAATCCGAGGTGACAGACAGCACGTGTCTTCCTGCAAGCTTGAGGTGCCAGCCATTGTCCGGAGATTTTGACCCAGTTGGCAAAGAAGGCCAACATACCGGTGACGACGACAGCTGGAAGCCCAGTGCTTGGAGCTTGCAGTGCACCAGCGTTCTTGAAGAATGCGCCGCTCCGCAGTGCCATGCAATGGGAATCTTCGACGAGCGCGAGCCTCTGTCTATGCACATGCTTGGCATGCACGGGTGGCCTCCTCAGCAGTCAGTCTGCTTTGTGTGGTCAAAGACTGCTTCTGTCTGAACATATTGAACGATGGCCAGGGCGGCCTATGCCAACTTTGCGATACAGAACGCTGACTGCATCATTGCTGTAGGCCTTCGCCTTACATCCATGACATTGCATGAGCTGGGGGGCCGCTGCACACGTGCGTTGCGCAGCTCTGACGAGGCAGCAGGTTCGATGATCGTACCACTGGCATTGTGGCCAAGTATGCACCGAAGGCCGGACTTCTGATGCACTGCATCGTCTGTTGCGGACGTGTTCGCATGGTGCTGGAAGGGGATCCACATTTTAGGACGTGTCCTTGCAGCATCTTCCTGGCGACCCGTTCTGAGCACGAGCTTCGACTGGTAGTTCGATGCGAAATTGGCGGCGCGGCTAGACGTTCGGGGATTGCGAACGTAGTGTGAACGCTTCGAAGATTAGGCGTTGCACCTTGCCTTGTAGCGGGGTAGAGAACTATTTCCGAAATCGCCGTGCTGCTGCTCTTGTTGGGGTTGCCTGTTGTCTGCCATCGTGCCTGGATCGGCATGCTGGAGTGGGCTCCCGGATGCTATGACTCATTTTCCAGGGCAAAAGGTACTGGCAAGAATGAGTGAACAACCCGGGCCGTAACAAACCTGGACGAAGATTGACATCATCGATCCGAACTCAAATTTGATGCATGCCTGTGGTACCTCACGCCTTTTGACACACTTAGTGATCTACTTGTCCTTTCGTTCCAGGCGAAAGCGGCAGAGAAAGATGGCACCGGTGGCATCATACACATCAACATTGACAAGTCTTCTTTCGGGAAGGCACTCCGTCGTCGTTGCGGTATTTGCTCACTGACTGCGGAACTGATGCCTCAGTAATGACTGAAAGATTGCCAGGCTAGCTAGGTCAGGTGCCTCGGATAGGAATGGCCTGTCCGTTCAAGTGCTCAGCTGCTGAAGCGCCGTGACAAGATGCAGACTCGTGCGAAATCTGTACGTAGCCATATGGCAGCAATTGTGGAGTGGCTGTGACGTCATAGCGGCTTGCGTGAGGTCGTTCAGCCCACCGTGGCAGTGTGGGCGGACACCGAGCATGCGCTCCAAGCACTGGGCTCTGGCTTTGACACTTTCAGTTCAGCGCAGCGGTGTAGCGACATGTCGTGCTTTGAGTAAGCCAAGGCTCTTGAACCGCTGGTCTCTGCTGGAGACCGTGAGGACTGGCTAAAGCAATGTCAGGCCCAAGTCAAGTTGCATTGGTCCCTGCCTTGTGCCGTGCTTTCCTCTGCTTTAGAGTTTCCAGGCTTGGAAGGAGCAGCATGCTTTCGACTATGTCAAAGCTCCCGCTGGCAAAATCAAAGTGCAGCAGGCCCTTTCTTCGGACAGCATCTCGCAAGTTCGCCGGAGGGCGCCTGATTCTCGACAGGTTTTATCAGAATTGAACAGCTATCTTCATAGACAAGACGTCTACAGCAAGAAGAATGTCTTCGTGGCTACTGGCGTTGGCAACCATCAGATGATGTCATGCCAGTTTCTTCGATGGATCAAGCTACTCGTTGCACTATAAGAGCACTCGAGTCTGCAAGCCGTGACAACCTCTTAATTAGGGGGCAGATGCAGGCCGCGATCTTTCATCACCAGCGGCAGCTTGGGTGTGATGGGGGCAGGACTGCCCTTCGCCATCGGCACACAGGCACAAAGTTGCGAAGAATCCTGTCTAGGAATGTGTGCTAGCTCAATCTTCATGAACTTTATTTCCAAGAGGAGCATGACGATACAAAAAACGGCATACAAGACGACCCAGAGAACAGCGAAAGGAAGACACCCATTACCCTCGCCGCACCATCTCGCGCGTCCCTGCTAGCGAGTTAGTTAGGTTCAGGTGTAATTAGGTCGATGCGAGTTCCGCAGTTCCGGGCGGTTGGAGTTTGGGGTGGTTCCCAGAGACTTTCGGTTTCAGTCGCGCCTGACACGGACTTTGCAGAGACCGAGCTCGGCGTTTGTAGTGAGCCAGGAGCCGGCAGACAAGGGGGAAAGGATAAAACGGAAGCCAACAGAGGCCAATTCGTAGCGAGCGCGGCGACTACGAAACAATGACAGCTCTGCCCGAGCCTTCAGTGAGCGTCGCCTCACCGGGCCCCTTTGCCAGAACAGAGAGGAATGTGTCAAGGAGATTCAGGACATTCCAAACACATGACTGAGGGTGTCATCGCTGTTGCGAGGTCGCAGAAGCCGAGTCTCCCCCCGTAGGCCCACACATCGATGTCACGAATGAAGGAAAGGAGGTCTGCAGGCTGCTGGTTGGGTGTGCCCCCTGCGCCAAGACACAACTACGCAGCCCGGTCCTTGCGAGGATTTGTTCGGCTGGAGAGATCGAGTAATGCACACATGCACTTGGTACGTTGTGAATTAGGCATCTCAGCAGAAAAAGAAGCGGCCAAAGAGTAACTTAGATGCCCTGACTTGTGGGACGTCGCTCTCTGGTGAATATCAACGAACTTGGCGGGCAGCAACCTATTGATCAGACTCAAGCCTGCGGGGCCGAATGAACACCACCATGTGGTGATAGGTTGTGGCCTTAGCCACATTTGCAAGTTCCCAGATGCGGTTGGTTGACAACTGGATTCGTGCTGTTTCGCAGCGTAAAAGTGGTTTTGACACTGTTGCTTAGTGCCGGTTGACGTGGCACGGGTTGAGGCACCGTGCAAGCACAGGGCTCGGTGAGCTAAATGGTTTTTGCAACTGCTGTTTGGAGTTGTCTTGATTGATTGGCATCGCTGCCACATCTGCCACAGTGAGCTAGTCCGCAATGTGAGATGTGCACAGGTGGCGAACCCAGATTCTCTAACCATTTTAATCGACGGTGATGGCTCCTTCGGCATGACCAACATGGACCTTCAGACCGTGAAGAGGCCACCTTTGGAGTTTCTTTTCTATGGCAGGCGGAGTTAGATGTCGATATGGGAAGTCTTTGAGCCCTACACCCGAGTAGTAGCAACCGGGCGGATGTTTTGTCCAGAATTCCTTGTACTTGGAACTTCAAGTTCGCGTTTGAGAAGCGGAGTTTGGGTGGGAACATGTGCAGGCGGAGGATTAGACATCCTGCGTTTAGGGTTTCGGTCTTCCGAGGTGCAGATGCAAGGGTCGAGGAGCTTTGGAGTAAGCTTGAGGGCAGAGGCACGACTGGTTGAAGCATCGCGACAAGGGTGGAGGTTTGCGGGTTTCGGGTTCAGAAGTCTTGCTACGGGGTGTATAATTTGAGTTTCAGCTTGATTTCGGGCTTGAGAGGCGTGACAGTACGGCTAAGGATTCTTGCGCTTGCTGATGGCTGCTTCGATTTACAGTTTTAACGAGTTTAGGCCAGGAGCCAGCAACAAACTGGAGGCGCTGGATGATCTCCAGAATCCTTCCACCTAAACTCTCAACGTTCAGGGAACCCTCACCACCTATACCCTTACTGTCCAGGGAATCCGCAGCACCTAAGCTCTCAATGTCCGGCGCCCTGCTGCAAAATCCCTAGATCGGTTGTAGTTTAAGGCCGCATGGTGAAGGCCACCTACACAACTAGCTTGTGTACTGCTTCGCACAGTCGCACGGAAGTGTGGACTGTGACAGTGGCAGAGAGCTGCTGTTGTGCAGTCAGCCGAGCAGTTGTCCCCGCTTTAGTACACGTATAGTGAAGCTGCACATAAGTGCGCTAATGAACAGGACGGGACTTATGTAGTATGTAAGGGCTTTGGTCGCTGGAGAAGAGCACTGCTCTTTGGTTCCGAAAGCAGCCAAAAGGCAGAGGCTTTGAAAGTGTTCTCCGGCACTTCAGTCAGAGATATCCAGTGTGGTTAGGACTGCTAGCCATTTTCTTGCTACCATCGTCGCAGGTACAACCTGCCAATCAAGATGGCGGTGATGAACGACGACAGGTGTCTCTTCGTGCACTGATGGTCCGCTGGCCACAGTAGGAGCATCGGCAGAACGTGCAGGCAGCAGATGGTCTGGGTCTGGCAGCGGCTCTTTTTCGAGGGCCGCTACATCAGTGCAGCTTGGCGCAGTCTTTCTCGGGAGCGCCTTCTGCTTCTCAGAGCTGGATTTAATTGTATAGGTGACCAACGACAATCCAGATTTCGTCGCTCTGGCGAAGGTGCGACGCTCAGACGGCCCGGATGTCAGGATTAGGTATAGAGGTGTAGCGTCATTGTTGCCAGGCCTATGGAATACATGCTGTGCAATGCGACAACGAAGAAGACCTACCGAAGGCAGGGACTGACGTGTTGAGCCCTTCCGTCGTGCATTGCACTGTTGCCACGAGAAAAGGTCATCGAAGAATGGATGTCCCATGACGGCCCAATGCTGGTGGACTTCAAGGTGGTTGGGTCCTTGGATCTTTGAGGGCTCGGATGCTTGGACACTGGTCCAAGTCGAAGGAGCGGTGTCTGCAATCCATTTGCCGGATTTGAACAGAGTGACCGACTGCAGAGCAGATGACCTCAACATTGCGCGAGTTTTTACAACTCTCTGTAGACGTTTGATCCGTCAGTGGACAGCCACGAACTTACACCGTTTCGAGGTTCCGGACATTTGCTTGCCGATGGTGGCGCCCGGCAAGGCTTTGAGAGTCCTTCAGCGTGCAGTGGCACTTCTTTCTGCCTACCAGGCTTTGGACGAAATGATCCTTTTACCAGATCGAGATGCTGTTCTCGGCACTGAAGAGGCTGTGTGTTGTTGAGCCTGACTTGCCGCTGTTGAATTCTTGCGCTAGCCTGAGGGCCTAGCCTAGCATGCCACTTGATCGCATGACATTGCGTTGCCAGGAATTGGGCAGCATGAAGTTCGAGGGCTTAGCACCATCTTGAGCGCGGAATGGCAAAATCAAGCACGCGCTTCCTCTTTCGCATAACTCCGACAGCTCCACCGGCTGCTCACGAGTTCTTAGGCCTCGCGTCGGAAACTTTCACTTTGCCATTTCTTCGCAGAAAGCCTCAAAGTAAGGCGGCACACTCGAAAAATGCGTCAGCCCCGCAGGTTGCAAATTCGGCAATAGTGCAGGCGAAGTTTGTACTTCTAGCTTCTGCTTGTGCAGAGCAAGAGTCCTAGTTGCAAGTTCAGAGCTGCTCAAGCAATGAACTTGCCGTCTTATTGCGTTATTGCAACCGAGACCATCGAGCCCTGCAGTGAACATGCCTGTTGAGCGCCAGCAAGCACTCACGTGTGTGCTGAATGGTCTCTAGAGCCTTCCGCAGCTTACTGTGCCGGGGCTGTTTCGGCTTCCCAACAGATTTCGTAGGTAGTGGAAGATGGCCTTGTCTTGTCTGGCCTTGGATAGTGCCCATGATTTCAGTGTTGCCTGCACCTTGCACATTCTCTGTGCTCCTCCAATTCGGTCATCCAGCTTTGCAGTACTTTCGCAAGGCAGGGGCCGGGTGTGCCGTCAACAGATATGATATGAGGGGATGCAAAGTCAAAACTGGCCTGCTGACTGGTGGCGCCGGGGACGGGATTAAAAAGGTCTCAAGGCAGGGTGTGGCTAGGCAAGAATGGGGTTCAGGCTCTCATGCCGACCTGCCCCCGATGGGCCACGCCCGAAAGAGTTGGCACGCTGGAGGGGCTGTCAGTTGTGCTCCTTTCCCAGTGTAAGAAGAAGAACAGCTGTAACATCTTCATAGAGGAACAGCAAGCCTTCAGATGTTGTTGTAGTTTCTTGTGGTTTAGTGATCCAACGGGTGTTGCATGTCACCTGCCGTGCAGCTCGTGGGGCAGTTTTCTGAGTTTGAGCCTGCTGAGCCTTGTTACCTGCGGGAGGAATAGTGCACCGTTCAGTTTAGGGCGGAGAGGTAGGTGTTTGCATTCAGCCGTGCACCGCGCTCTTGTTTTCGTCGGTCGGGTTTGCAGAACAGGTCACGGCACTAAACTCTGCATTTCCGGATCAATCTTTGAAGGATAGATGTAGTCCTGGAGTTTGATCTGTTCGAAGGTCCGAAGTGGCGGCGTGCTAACGGATCTTGACTACGTGTTGTTCAGCATTTACTTTGCGGCTTTCCCAGAGCTTGCAGGTCCATGTGAAAGTTATCAGATTCAGTCGGAATGCGATTCTGAGGCTATTTGTGCAATCTGGATGTTCTTGGAGTCCACCCTGCTGTGGCCTCTTTTGGATTATTGCCCGCTGTTTGTTGAACCTTCTCAGAATTACAGCATCAAGTGATTGTGGCTGTGCTTCGCGCAGACATGCTGTGATAGGGCAGCCGGAGTATCCGCATCTCAGTGATACCATTGTTCAATCGGCGTGCATTGCGAACACCGTAGTAGAAACCTTGGCACTGCCGCCACGCTCAGGAGTTCAAGATGTTGTTTTTCTGGTGGCTAGTGCGGCTCATCTGACAGAAGCCAGTGGTTTTCGTAGGTTGCAAACAGCCCTGATGTTGTCTAAGGTGCCCTGAGTACAAAGGTGCAGCTTATCTGTGGTGTGGGGCCTACGGCAATGCTTCGTGAACTCGTGGTACGGTTTCATGGTACATGATGCTAGAAATCTCACCTCGCATGCACCGGTCCTTCTCCTCCCATGCTCGCCAGTGGCCCCAGCATGTAGCAGGTGACAAAAGGCGGGAACTGTCCAAGCATTGACATCTTTTACAAAAGTGTCCTGACATGGTGATCTGCGGGCCTGTTCTCGAGACTTCTCCCCTCGAGCCTAGGGCCTAGGGGCCTAGTGCTGCCCAGTGCATGCTGTTTCTCATCTCGGAATCGGTCTACCCCTGAAACGACTCGATGAACCACAAATTTCAGTGTTTCTGCAGCTCCTCGAGAGGCCTTGCTTCGTGTCCGAGTACTGGTCTCGCGGGGCATCTGACGTGTCTGCATTCTCGAGGTTCTCCCACATAAAGCCCGCGTACCAGAAAGCAGACGCCAAGTATTACGACAAGTTCATTTCTGTGCTGCACAAGGCAGGCTCTGTTTCTCGATGTCAGGAAACACGCTGGCCTCATGATACCGAGAATCGGGTTCTCTTTCGGAATGGTGCACTTGTGGTCGTCATGACGAGCCCATGTATGTTTTTCCATTTGTGTGCGAATGAGTAGAATGAAAGGTTCCCGGGGTCTTCTCAGCTTTTTCGCTAGGCTCAGCTCTTCTTGGCTCACTTGGATGTCGCAGGTTCCGTTCATGGACCCGGGGAATCGGTTTGGGAGGGTATCAGTGCGTTCGGAGCAACCAACATCAGCAACTTTACGTGTCGCGACGAGACGCCTCCCAGCAAGCCTTGGCACCGTATGTCTCGTCTGCTCCGATCGATTTCGCCAACCTGTGACGAGATCTTTACGAGTCGTGGATGGAGCCAAGACCGCTCGTGGCCACATCATGCCCGTGTCTTCAGCCCTTCTACATAGGTGCCATGAATGTTTCAAAGGCAGCAGTAGCTTTTCGGTGCCCTTGGTTCAGGCAGCTTTACCAGCAATGCCTGCAACTACCAGCGCAGCGCCTGAAGTTAGCAACAAGGAGGAGGCCTGTTGGGAAGAGTTCCGCGACCTCCGCTCGAGTTTCTGGCATATTTTTAGACTTATACGGGAGCTAAGACGTCATCGCGAACTGGCTCGTGAATTAGCTTAGCTTCATAGACATCCTTGCGAGCCTTGCTTCAAGCCAACACTTTGAGGACCTGCAAACATGTTTGAAAACCACGCAACAATAAAATATAATAAAATACTGCATGCCACGATCATTCGAGAAAGGTAAGAGCATCACTGTTGTCATGTCAAGACTCTGCATTTAAGAACATGCACATCGGCCTGCGTGTACACCCCAGACAGAATCTTTTCGGATGGTCTGGCTGCTGGGCAGGTTATTCGTGATATGCTTGACAAGAAGGCCACATGAGAAGCGGTTGGGTTGAAAGTTTCACTGCTGCATCTCCGAGGAGGTACAGACTCTGTCGCTGCGGTGGCGAAAAGGCTTTCGAGCCGAGCTGCAGCTGTAGTCCTGACAAGTAACGCACTTCCTGGACCCGACGTTGACATGCCCGATTCAGATGCGGGCTCGACATGGCGTACGTTGATATCCCGCAGGGTACATAGAGCCGCAACAGGTGCTTCCCGGCAAAGTCCCCTCAGCTTGACATGAAGCGTTGAAATTCGATGCGCGTGGGTGGTCGCTGATGGGCTCTGCACGGAGCATCGAGCACACGCAGCCCCGGTTTGAGCTGGCTTCTCAGAGCTTGAGGATGCTAGAAGCTCTCTGCACCTAGATTTGATCTCGCTTCTTTGCTCCGGCCTGCTTTGACTACTTTTCGACTACGACTCGTCGATGCGACTTGGATCCCGGGCCTCCTGTGTCTTCCTTCTCACAGGTCTGAAAGCTCCCGGGCAGCATCAAAGCTGCTTCTCAATGCAGCGCGTCGTTGGGCACCCAGAAAGAAGGTGCCACAATCAGCAAATAGTCAGCAAATTCTGTCGGTGTCATAAACTGCATCAGATCTGTGGAGAAAGCCGCATGCAAAGCATTATTCTAATTTTGAGCTGGGGCTGGCTAGAGCCCAAAAGCCTGTGCGTGCATCGCATCTCGCCGGACACCTCCAACAGATGCCGCGCCACACGAAAGCAAGGGACGTCACCCGCTCAAGCTGTCCCGGCTTTGGCGGATTGATAATGGTCCGTCTTCTGGGGTTCTTGATGTTAGGCTCTCTGGTTCAGCGGCATGGATGAGGAGGAACAAGCCACCCTGCCTGTGGCAAGTCCGGATTTGCTACCGCACGAGCTTCACCTGCCAGGCATTGCGGCTCGCCCCCGCCCCTGTCTTCTCGCAGTGTCAACATTACCGCGCGCCGTGTGCTTCCCCGGAGATGGGGTTTTCCCTCTTTCCTACACTGCATCCAGAGGAACGAAATTGATAGACTCGTAGACAGGCAAAACAATTAACAGTAAGCAGAGTGGACGCAAGGCTGCGACGCGGATGCGGTGCAAAACGCCATAATCTCAGCATCGCTGCTCTGGATGAAGTCTCCTCAGTCTTCTGTCCTTGGTAAAACGCACGGAGGCACTGTCTATGGGGGCGGACCCCAACATAAGGAGCAATTTAAGTGTCAGTTCGTGTGCACGTCACTTTAATGCTGTTTGACCTTCAGCAGCTGGCGAGTCAGGAGTGAGCATTCCGGCAGGCCAGCATTGAGCTTCACTGCCCAGTGCGTCGTGTCCTCAGTTCTGGCAATGTGCAACTCTGGGTCTGGAGTAGTGAGATGAATCTTTAGGTGGCAGCGAACTGCGAAATTTCAGAAACAACGTGCATGCAGTGATGAGAAGGCGAAGTTGCCTCCACCGCAGGCGGATACTTCGCTTCCTCTCCAACATCTGCTGCGTGCACGTGCACAGGTGGATGCAACCGTCCAGAGCCCAAGCATCCTCCCTTTTCATGGCTGCTGTGAGCCAAAGATCAGGCGAATGATGGACGCAGCGCGTTGCACATTGCAGTTGCCGCGAGCCGTCAAACGGTCATGTGAGTCATGTGTGTTCTCTGTAGCAAGCCAGAGTGCTTGCAGCGAGGCATGGGAGAGGGGTGCAGCAGCATCGAAGTTGGTCGAGGCAGAAGTCTTATGCCATGCTGGGCGGGCGTGACTGGTAACGGGTGGAGAATATTACTTTCACATCGAGTTACATGTTGTCGCAGACGAGTCGCGAAGCAGCCAAGAGCTTTCGACGGAGGAGAAGCTGGGTGGGGGAGTTCAATGCATCTTACGCTTGAGAAGGGGTAAATATTCGCTCTTCGATGTGTTTGTTGCAGCTTGAACTTAGTTCGACTCTCTGCCAACAGTACCGCGTACTTTCTGAGTCGACCGGCGCTGTGTGAAGTTGACCTGTGGCGGCGGGTGCATGGAGTTTGTCGCTCCGGGCCTGGGCACGGCATGGGCGTTCGCGCTGAGCGCCCACACTCGATTCTTGCATTGAGCCGGATGCTGCGAAGAAACATCCACCCGTTGGTTGCAAACCGTTGTGTAGAATCAAAGACAAGTCTTGCAGATATTGCCATGGACTGTCGTCTGCGAAGATCCTACTGTACATCTCCGGTTGTAGCACGTTCGCTTGGCGCCTTCCAAGAGCAACACTCGGTATGCGCATCTCGGGTTGCGGCAGGGAATGCCGAAGTCGGCCATCAACGTTGAGAACACAAAAACAGGACGCGCTGCAAAATAAGATAGGGCCATAGAGCACACTCGTTACAAGCAGGATGCGGGGCAGAACGAACCAAAAACAGCACACTGCAACCAGGATAGGGGCAGAGCGCACGCGCTGCAAAGAGGAGAGGGGCGGAGAGCAGGATAGGGGCGACAGCACCAGCAAAAGACATGCTGCAGATAGGATTGGGGCAGAGAGCACACACGCTGCAAACAGGATAGGGGCAGAGGGCACCAACAATCGACACGCTGCGAATAGGATAAGGGCAGAGAGCACACGCGCTACAAACAGGATAGGGGCAGGGAGCATCAACAAACGACATGGTGCAAACAAAATAGGGGCACACGCTGCACACAGAATAGGGGCAACAAGTACCAACAAACGACACGCTGCAAACAGGAAGGGGCAGGGAGCACCAACAAACGATACGCTATTTTGGAGTGTCGAGTTTTTTTTTTTTTACCACGTTTCGATGTTTTGGCATCGGCCGTGTTCCTTGAAATGCAGCGTGGCGTGCTGTTTTCCCATGTGGGTTATTGTGGGTTCGGGAAACGTTGCAAATGGGTTGACTTCGCACGAGTTTAGGTGTGAACCTGGGGAGCGTCGACTTGACATGGCCTGGCTGTTGCAGAGCACTGGTGGTGCCGCATCCAGGCATAATATGGCGATCTCACGATCTGACAAACTGCAACCAAGTCTAAACGCATGTCGCTCCTTGTCCTGTCCCCTTCTTTGGAGCTTTTTGGCTCGGATCTTCCAGCACCGTTATGAGACGGGGAGAGTGCCAGAGCTCGGTTTGCTTGCAACAGGCGGCGAGTCAAGCGACCGTACTGATGTTGAGCAAGTTCTTGTTACCATTATGTTGTTTACTGCAAGGCCTGCCTAACTGTTAGTACATGTCCTCGGAGCACAGTAAAGCCAGTATAGCCATTGATGTGTCTCCCTCTTTCGATACAATGTACAGTGGCGGCGTAGAAACTGCAGCACAGAAGCAGAAGCCCATGTTGCGGTGGACACGGAATATCTTTGCTGCGTTCCAATCTCGTGAAACCGTGGTTTTTCCACTCGCAACATCTTTCAGGCCGGCGCTTCGCGAGATTTGGAGGACAAGCACGGCCTCACACCAACAGTTCCTGGTCAATAAATTGGCTCTCTTGCGCGTATCTGACTTGTTTCCATGAGCTTGTATGGCACGAACCAAGGAATTGGCCAGACGAAGAAATCGGGTCAATATTTGACATCTCAAAAATATGATCTTGCAGAACAGTCAATTTGAAAGACGACACTACTAGAATTAGATTCATTGGATAATCTTTAACCAGACGATATAGATGATAATATACTCATTATTTATGATGAGAAGAGGTCGGTAAATAAATTGGAAAAAATGGATATATATATATATATATATGTAAGAGAACCCTTTATGTATTATTTGACCCGTGGCCTCGTGTCGTTTCGTCTTTTAAAGGTTTTAAAAGTTTTGAAAGTTTTAAAAGTTTTAAAGGTTTTAAAAGTTTTAAAAGTTTTAAAGTTTTAAAGGTTTTGAAAGTTTTAAAAGTTTCCAAGCTTTTAAAAGTT